TGGGACAGCGGAAGGTGCGAGGTTGTGGGGCAGCAGACGGTGCAAGCTATTTATAGTCACCGTGGTGCAAGCCGTGCAAGCTAGTGGGACAGCGGACGGAACGGAATGGTAGCAAGTACGAATCTTGCGGCGTTACGCGGTAGGTTTTGCCTTTTTACATTTCCGGTTATATCTCAGAAGCTAATCGATATACCATGAAGTCATTTTAGAGGATCATGGCAGGCATGTGTACGAATAAATCGATCTCATCTTCACTCCTGAAAAGCTTAATGAAATTCACTAAATTTCATAGGTGCAAAACCTACCGATAAAACCCGCGAGACCTGTACACGCCCTCTCGTCAAGAATAGGTAGCTGTGAAAAGTATCGGAGCCGTGAGCAGACATTGGATATCCAGTCTGGTAGTATTCATTTAATAAAAATTAATTCCATCCTACTAGTCAACGTGGTACCTTCTACAATCTACATAGTCAAGCTTGCGCTTGATAACTTCATCATTCCTTCTTTGGAATCGGTCTAATTCCTATTCCGCAATAAGACATCATCCGCCGTGCCCCATTCACCAGGTCGGAAACCCATAATCACCACGTCGCAGTATGCGTGAGACACGGTAAAATCGCACGGAGTCGAAATCCCGGGAGTCTCAATGAGAGCACGCCCGATGAATGGCCGATTGGAGATCTCCGGCGCTCTCCGAACCATCACATTGGTGCCTCGGATTAGAATAGAAGGCCGAGCGAAAGGTCAGATCAGTTTCCAATAACGAGGCAGGATGATACCCGGTAGAACGATAGCATGAATGAACGGTAGGCGGTTTCTGCGCAGAAACGCGTAGAGGCGACAAACTCTCAGTGTTCGTACAAAAAAGACAAGCGCAGACAAAGACGCTGAAGACATACCGGACTCATCAGTAATTGAAGTATAAACATGAAACATGAGACAGAAAAGTAATTCATGCAACCGTTGCGCATCTGGCCCACTGCAGCAAAAGCCTACAAATGAAAATACTCATCAAGTGCATGCAAATGTTTTTGCTAAGGAAAACGCCTGAGGAAACGTGCTGTGCGTTGAGCAACTTTGGAAAATAACTGCAACTTCGTGACACCTAGCCAGAGCGGTTCGTCTGAGAAACTCATATCCTCACAGACACGCGTACGGAATAGCGTGACGAGTGTAACTTATGACAGGTGCTGGCGAGTCACGTGTCAAGTGCCGCTGGATCACGTGTCACGGTTCGAGCGAGATATGATGTGATATAAAGGCGACATCAAGCTGTGTGGAAGCTGTCTGACTTACTGCGCAATGCCTGGCCCACTGAGACAAAAGTATGACGCCAACCTGCCGCATAACTTTGAAGACAATCCAATAAATGTTGCCTGAAGGTCGAACGACACGGCTGGAGACTGCAATGTAAGTTCCCGCCCCCGACACATCTGAGGTCTTGAGAAACCTACTTGAGAGAGAATGCAATTAAAGCTGCTCTTCGTGACACTTGCTAAATCATCCTGGCATCAGCAGCTCACCCACATCCAGTGACTCGTGTTTCCGGTCGAAGGCACCAATATCGCCAATGAAAATGTTCGATCAAACGTTGGCGGATTTGTAGGTCCTTGCCTTGTCGCCGCCTCCTCTCCTAGCACATCAACTCTCCAGCACGCTTCATTCCGTGCTAGGGAAGTGGAAGACGCTGAGCAATCAACACTCGCTCGAACCAAAGAAAAATGACTTCAATCGGGCCATGTGCTCCGGGTAGAAATAGGCTGCATTTGTCCGCAGATTGACGAGTTAGTTCGCCCAGTGTTCGCATCACTTCATTCAGCGGCAACCAGCATGTAGTCGGTCTCGATTCAGCTCTCAGCCAAACAACGCCCACCGCCCTCTCCCACGTCAAACTATTCTTACAATTTTGCACGAAACGTCATCTGTTATAATCTGAAAATGATAACGCTGAGGAAGAAGTCGGAAAATGACGAGCTCGCGGCTGATTTCAAAGTTACCGAGGCATGCAATTTCTATTATAATAGCACGGCGAACAGCTATGGTGAGTAAACTGCTTTAGTTGGCGGATACTTCAGCCCAAGTACGTCAGCCGGCGTGCGCATTCAGCGGTCGCGTCGCTGGCATTTGTGAGAGTCGTGTTGTCGTCGTTCGTAAATAATTTGAGTGCCGTGTCTCCCGTTCGTCCATCTATGATTCAGGCGACACCTGTGCCACCACTCCCCTGACGCTAATCCGGCGGACGGTTTCGGCCGGCGCTCGACGCGTCGATCTCGGCGCCCCGCGCGTCACTATCGCGTCTAGTGCTTCAGTAAGCTCACACTATTTAACGGCAGTTGAAAATTGTCGTGCTTTGCAATCAATACAAGCAAATGCAATCAATGTCAACGATGCCTGTTGACTGAATGAGGATAAACACAGTCACTATACCGCCTGTCCGCGTCGCGCCGCGCGTTTTCTTACCGAGCGGCCGCGGCGTGGAACCGCCTGTCGCCGGCTGTCACCAGCTCTGTAACCCGCGCCGAGTTTCTGCGCCGGCTGTCGAACTAGTCGAGGGTCTGGTTTGTCCGACTTTGGACCGTGTTTTTATATACCCATCTCTTGATTGTGATTTACTGTGATATTGACTGTGTCATGTTTTTATCTATGTACTCTGACTCGGACTAAATATTAAGCCACTATGTGGAAATGTCCTCAATACACCGAACTTGAACTTGAACTTGAACTATAACTAATTGATGTCGAACATTTTCTTAGCTTAAATGAAGAAACGTAACTTAGGATAGAGAGATTAACATAAAGAAGCATAGCACAGAAAAAATCCTTTTATGTATGTTCTTCCGTTTTATTTATTTGTGGCAATAAACGATGAAAAAATGAAAAACTCAAAAGCAGTAAAAGAACTATAAGGCACCGTGAATCACGCAAGAGCAGAGTTGTGCTCCATAAAACATTGCCGAAGAATAATACCGACCCTGTGGCACATTCTCCGGCGAAAAGTCCGTCTTCCATCATACCACGAATCAGCAGCACAAACCAAACTAATTAAAATAACACCAAATAACTCTCCCGACTCGGAATGAATCTCGTCACTCAGACAAGAGGCCCGTTGACCCCGACTCGACCTCAAAAGACAATCTCCAGCAGCGGAGGAGCGGGCGGGGTCACGAGCGGTGGCCTCTCGACTGAGGAACGACAGGCCATTTTTGCTCAGGAGAGATTGGCCAGTTTTCCCGACGAGGCTGTTGCTGGCCGAAATCACTAGCGGCGCAGCTGCGACGTTCACGGAGCAGCAGTGACGTTCACGACGCTATTGGGGACTTGCCGTTCGCTTATCGAAGTGAGCGTCTTGCATACAGGCGACGACAAAGGCTGCGCTGTGGTTTTGGTAAGAGATGCGGGACATAAACTCGACAGAGGGGAGAAATGAGTGCACCATATACCAGAGTAGCGAGAGAAGCGAGCAGCAGCACAAAGTTGAACTGCGTTATGGCAGCGGGACTGAGCGGGTACCTACGCTGTGACCAGTACGCCGGCTGGATATTTGAAATTCAACACTACTGGAAACTGGGGAATACCTGTTGGAGAACGACTCGTGCCTCTACGTGCACATCAAATATCGGGTTAAAGTTGGTGTTATCAGTAACCTGTGGGCCGCATACTGATAACTGCAATTCGGGCTCGTCAGCCCATGACTTGGATTAGCAGCAGACATACAGCTTCAATACAATCTCTTAGATACAATTTGTGCCCATTTGTGACTGTCAGTGTGCAACAAAGCGGCTCAACAACGGACTGCCCTTTTGGCCCGTGGCCGTTTCAGGATTGAGAGAATCATGATTGGTCCATCCCCGATCTTTCCTGCCTCACAACACTCCACGCAAGATGTTCGGTTCGCTGGCATACGAATCCCAGCCGCTGTGCATACTAAGCTGAGATGAACAGCTGGATGGACAACTTCGCAGCAGGTCGTCCGAGTAGAATGGTGCTAATCATACACAAGATGTTATTTTCCGAAGAGCATAATCATTCCTGTAGTTAGCGCTGAAAACACGTGAAATGGTAATAAGGTAGGGAAGAAGCTAGTCGAGAATGACCGTAAGGCATTGGACTGCAACGCCACCCTCAGATCCTCCCTGGTTTGGTTCAGTTGGAGACTAGTTCCCCCGTCCCCCTGCCGCAGACGGTTGCTCAGTAGAGTACCAACTCTGAAGTGTGTTCAAGTGCACCCCATCCTCTGCCGATTAAGCCAGCGCTTTTCGCGCTGATGCGATCTTCTAGGATGAGCAATATTTAGACCAGTCCTTGCAAGCCAATTCGCATGATTTGTAATCCCTAGAAACGAGACGGACAATATTTCACATGCCAAAGTTTTATCTCGCCTTTTGACCTCGATCGTGTTTGCGTCCTTGGAACCCATAGGTCGGCCAGAGCTTGCTCTTTCCCTAAATCCGATCAAAACAAAGCAAGAGGCTGCATCGGATCCAAGATTATCATAGCGTTCAATGTAACTGCATCGAAGAGCTGCGCCCATCTTTCAGTGTTGAGGGCCGTTTGCAGCCAGCCGGGGCGGCCTTTCCAAACAACAGCACGATGGATGTACGAAGGGCGAGGTCGGATTCAAAACATTCAAAAGTCAGAGTCTATACTTGCCGTTCGACTGAGGAAATCCCTCTTATGCCAGCACTGTACTAAATTCTTTCTAAATCCGTACGTGCACCAAAACTTGTCTCAGGGTCTCCCACGGGATAGTGTCCATAATCAAACCAATTCCGAGTTTGCGTTGTGTCTAAGCCAATCAGTTTATGGGATCATCCGATTGCTTTGATGTATCGCTGGGATGGGATAGAATAACACAATCTGTCACAGATTGAGCGAAATCGATAGATTCTCCAAGTGATCGCCAGCATTAATAAATGTTGGCACATGTCACTGTCAATGAATCCTGCACAGACAAGCTGCTGCGCCAAACTGCCATCTATCACCTGAGGGTGCGGACCTACCTTTGAATAGGCGTATTTCCCCACTATCCGCTTGGTACGGGTGCTGTCTGTATTGATGACGTCATATTCTGCATTGATGCGGTCTCCGTTATCGTCGAAAGCGACTTTTCCCGTCTGCCCGTCGAACAGAACTTGTTTACGAATGTACCTGAAACAGAAACAGTGGTAATTCAGAGTTAGAAGATCCTTAGTAGTATGATTGATGAGATCCGTGAAGAATGGTTCGCGTTTGTTGCCCAGCGTTTCGGAGATTTATCTTCACTTCATAAACGAGCTGTGAATTCTCCCAGACGCTGAGATTGCAATTCTCAGAACATGATGAATCGATGAAGATTCTGTCTGACGCGCTTTACGTGGTGTCTTTTTCGAAATTAAGGAAACAAACCAAAGCGGAAGATCTATAAAAACATATATTTTTTGCAACAATTTCTTCCTCCATTCGTGCAGATGCTTCATCACTCTTTGCAGTATAAATAACGCTTATCAAAACACATTAGTTAAACAGCATCCCTCGTGACACAAAATCCTCCCCCGCCACGCCGGACGCTACCGGCACACATAATCGCCTCACGCGACGCAACACCATAGCCCGTCTCCCAGCGGACTGGAAGTCCAGTAAATCAGACGGGCCCAGATGCGACTCAGTTAAACGGTCGTCAGTATTCCGCACAGTCGCCGCTTAACGACCGTCCGCACTCGGAACGAAAAACGGAGCACGGAACGCATCAGCCCGGCGGGGGAGGGGGGGGGGGGGGGCGGGGGCTCACTTGAACAGGGTTTTTCCCGTCTCCCAGCCGTCTCCGGTGTTGTTGCAGTCCTTGGGTGCCTCCGTGATGTTCTCCTTTTGCGACATTTCCTTCAGGGCGGCTGCCAGAACGTACCTGAGAATGAGAAACGACGAGGGAAGTGTCAGAGGAAAGGAATGGCATCGTGGTAATGGCACTGACGTTTGGGGGGCACGGATAAGCAGAATAGCAGATGCAAGCCGACCCCGTGTTGCAGTCAAGAGCCCACGAAATATCAGAAGCGCGCACTGACAGTCTAAAGCACGGGCCGGCACGGTGTCAGCGTCACATGCTGGCCCCGTGTCATAGATAGACACAAACCGACCCCAGTCTCAGGGGCGCCACCCCGTGTCCGTAACACGGACTGGCCCCATGTCACGGCCACGGACCGACCCCAGTCTCCGGGGAATCGGCCCCACGACACGGACTGGCCCCATGTCACACGGCCACGGACCGACCCCAGTCTCAGCGGACAGCGGCCCCATGTCCGCGGCACGGACCGACCCCAGTCTCAGCGGACAGCGGCCCCATGTCCGCGGCACGGACCGGCCCCAGTCTCAGCGGACACCGGCCCCATGTCCGCGGCACGGACCGGCCCCAGCCCCAGCGGACACCGGCCCCATGTCCGCGGCACGGACCGACCCCAGTCTCAGCGGACAGCGGCCCCATGTCCGCGACACGGACCGACCCCAGTCTCAGCGGACAGCGGCCCCATGTCCGCGGCACGGACCGGCTATCGGCACGGGGCGATGTAGGTCAGTGGACACCCGAGCGGCGCTCGGCGCCGGAGCAGTCCCACCGGGGACGAAGATAACAGTGCCGAGACGAGCCGGAGTGACCGACGGCCCGGCGACGGCCAACTTTGAATTGAGCCGCCCAGACGTCAGCCGCGGCCCGCGGCGCACGTGGCTACTGTCAGGGTGATGTGTCAGTATAGGTTAGGTATGTGTGCATATGTGTAGACTGTAGGTGCTAAAGGTGCTAAAACTCAGCAGTCGAGAATATCGGTATGTAAGTACAAGTGCTTACATACCTGTATTATCGACTCATCTAAGTGGTATCTTTTACATTACTATGTTCTTACGAGTGAGCGGCCATCAAGCAGCCCTTATGTATGGCCCAAAACGTATTATGGTGCTATGGTTTTGACCTATGATATACGATGTCGTCGCAAATGGCACCATCTGTTGGGTCGTAAGACAAAATGGATGGCAGTCACATTCTCAACACCATGCCACGTTGCCATGGAGAAACGATTTGCGAAAGAGCAGATGGCATTTGCTGTGATAGCTACAAAGGCAGAAAGAAGTATTGCAATAGAAAAGTAATGTGTGCCTTTTTAAAGTACACAAAAATACTTGATAAAATATCAAGGATGAAAATTATTAAGCTAAAGGGAAAACGATCTAATGCATGTCAAAGTTTAGCATTCTTGTCATAAGAGCTATCGATTTTTTTCTGAGTTACGGAGGGGATGATCATCACCACTAAAAGTTTTTATTTCAAATTCACATGATGGAAATATGAAGTTGAAAGACACTTCACCACAAATTAATGAAACACTCGATTCGAATTATTCAAGCACATCGTTAGGCCCACCGTTCACTCGAACCACCTTACGAGATCCGTCCAATAAACCTGATTCTACCGACGTTAGCGGCCGTTGGCAGTCACGATCACAGACACCTCAAACCGATCTATCGCCAGTGGATAGGTCTTTGGAGGCCGACAGACACAACTCCAGCCGGCACCAGAGCGCAGCACAGCCTCAGTGGCCGGCTCAGCCGCGATCGTGGCCGCTCACATCAGCTCTCCGACACCCCTAAACGAGACTGGCCGCCGCGCCGGCTTAGAAGAGCTCAGCCAAACGGGCCGGCTCCGACCAGAAATGACCGCTTCCCGGCGGCCGGCCGTCACAGAGACACAAATTTACGTCCGCAGATTGAGCTCGGCTGAACGGCGCCGCTCCAATAGTCTTCCATTCCGCCATTGACAGCGACGTGACGTGAGCAGCTGCCAGAGGCCGGCACAGGTTAGTTTCTTTCCCGCACCGGCAGAATTAACGCAGCCAAAGTTGAGCCATGGATTACCTACTACCTGGATCGGCAACTCCGCGGAATTCCCATTGTATTGCGCGACCGCCCGAAAGTGCTGCCACCTATCGAGCAGACTGATCCCTGCTAAGGACAGCCCGCCGCCGCCGCCCAGTCAGACAGCGGCCGATACCAGCAAAGTCCGAAAATGACCGGCAAGTTACATGGCCTGAACCAGCCGCGGCTAAGTTTGGCATAGGCCAACAGTGTCGGGTTCCGGAAGAGCGGTCCAGGGCGGTTCCATAGACTATGTATCGTTTTGGAAAGAATGGTGTGGTCAGTGGTGGGTCGTTTACCGAGCGCGACTGGCCGATTTTACCTCAGCACGTCGTATTGTTAGCTCTCATGGCCAGGCCAGGCGCTTTCTGCCAGCTGCCTGAAAATACCTTCGATCAAACGACTTTGTCTATCACTCGGATTGCCCCTGATCAGCTTGAGCATTCCAACTCAGTCGTCGGTAGACCGCAGAGGAAATGTGCCGTCCGCCGTGAAACATCCAAATCATTGCTACAGCCATTTTGACTGACTTATAAAGATCAAGACAAATGCTGTCATATCGATTAACGAACATCTGCACCACTGACAATTTCTATCAAGAAGCATTCCAGGATTATAAGCTTACCATACACCGTTTCGTTAAAAAACTGTTTCCATATTAAACTTATGTTTGCCGTCGCATGAGCGAATTGCCTACTGAGTACAGGCTGAAACCGATTCTTTCCGCAGTCAGAAATCATGTGCGAGACCGAGAGTCTATTCAAATAAACCCCGGTCGCACTCTCATCCATAACACGCACCTCCTTGCGTGCGATTGATGCTATTGCAACTGATTGATTGATTGCGTGCGATTGATTGATTTGAATAGGCTCTCTTGTGCGATTTCCTGACTGTGGAAATAGTCTGTCTCGGCCTGAAGTTCAGAATTTAACACAGGTTCAATGACAACTAAGGTGAAAGATGACACACAATGTATACAATGCATATTATTGCATAGACTGATAGGTAGATTTCGAGAAACGACGTGCCACATGCCTACTAAACGGTGTCGTAGCACCAAGTTGGTTTCCAATTCACACCTCCCACCAGAGTATATCGGGAATAAATGCAAACACGATGCACACGAACGCATTATCCGCTCAATGGGTATGCCCGTAGTGGGTATGTTAGTCAGTTACAAACGCTGTGATACCTTAAACATTTTCGGTCGAGCCAGTTCACAGTTCACACCCCGGCCGCCTGCTGCCGTCACGTCACACGTGTCTGCAGTGGGCGTGCACCTGCCTGCGTGTGCGTGCATCATAATTCACATCACAAATCACAGGATGCCAATTCAAGTCAGCACACCGTGGAAACTGAACCCATCTCTTTGATCTGAAACAAAGAGTGAGAGAGGGAAATTAGATACCTGAGCATACCGTAATGAAATGGAGAGTGAGGGCATTCCAAGGCAAACTGTTTCCCCACAACATCACAAAAAGTATTTTACATTGCGATGATGTTGGCAAAAAATAAAATAAATAATACCTTGACAAGATACTCCCAAACAAAAGTACCCACAAGCTTAACACCTTATCTGCTAGGCTTACATAGTTTAAAATGGCTTTATCTTACTTAAATCTATCTGCTATCTACACACAGTTTGGCTAGCACTCGTTCTAAAAAAAGGTGATTGTTATATATCATTCAATAGAGGGAAACTCACAAACTTCTTCGTACTACTCTGGACCTTTTGGCTTTGAGAAAAGAAGGAAGCTGATGTCAGGGACCAGGGTCGGCACTCTTTTGTCATTTGTGGTTGACAATGACACACAAGCTTGAGACATGATGTGTCAAACATATAACAAACATATAACAAACATAAAATTAAACATATAAATAAGTGATTAAACATTCCAATTACGGAAATTATACGATTTTTAACGACATACGGCGAGAAGCAATGTGCGCAAGTATCGTCAACAGCCGCTCTTTACAGTAATATTTTAGGCCACTCAGACCCTCCAACCACAAAAAAAAACTTACCAATCTTACCTTGCCATCTTCCTCCATCTTCTGAAACCTTCCAATCTGCTCCAAAGGGGCTTAAATTTTCAAAAAACAAGGCAAACGATCCTACAACGCGACGCCGACCATTGTTTTGAATAGCACCCGCTCCCCCGCGTCCTTAGCGCTCGACACCACTGCCACCTAGCGGTGGTCACAAACATCGAGGAGTTGCCGATCCAGGTTCTACTTCATCCATGGTTGAGCCATACCCGGCGAAACTCGACTCGTTCCGCACCAGCTGACGCCCGACTTCCGCCACCGCCCGCCCGCGGGAAGAGTTTTCACATTTTACCTCTTATCATCGCCCTTACTCTAAACACTACCAAAGTTTTTGAATCAATTCTCTCTTTCTGTTACTCTTTCTCTCTGCCTCTCTGTCTCCTCTCATCCCTCTCTCTCTCCCTCCATTTCCTCCCTCCTCTCCCCCTCCCTCTCTATTTCTCTCTCCCTCTCTCTATATTTCCCATCTCTCTCCCTCTCTCTCTCTTTCTCTATTTCTATCTCCCCTTCCCTTTTTTTCTCTCTCTCTCTCTCTCTCTCTCTCTCTCTCTCTCTCTCTCTCTCTCTCTCTCTCTCTCTCTCTCTCTCTCTCCACCCAATTCTCTTCTCATCTTCTCCTCCTCCCCTCTCCATCTCTGTCGGCAGCGGTGCGCTCATTCGTTTGACACGCACACGATACCGAGTCAATTATCCCACGCCACCTTCTGTTCTCGGGTCACAGGAGACACGCGTCACGCGGACGGCTCTTCTGCGCGTCTTGGCGGCGATCACACACGCTGCCAGCGAGACACCCGGAGAAGACAGCCGCCTGATCGGCGCCCTATGACGCACTACGGCCGGGCAGTGCATGCAGAGCTGCCGGCGCTTCCAGGGCTCTACAGCAGCGCCTGTCTGGGCGCGCCCGGGCCCAAATAGACATCGTTATCTAGCTCGTGTGATGCATACAGAGCCGCCACAACGCTCAGTTATAAGCGACCGGGATATAAATTAGATAAAATAGACTTGTCGACGTCCATGGGCCATATCCTGAGAAAATTTTACGAAGTAAGTATTATAGCTTGATGGATCTCGTCGCCAGCGGGATTTAATTTTATGTTATTAAAAATGGCGCTATCATCAACAACATGTGACGGGCATCGTTACCTCATTACGAGCGGAGCGGCCATACGAAAATGCCACCGTGCGGCAATATCCTGCCGCGCGGGCCAGCCCGGCCGGGCCGGCCTCTCCGCCGCGGCGGCCACAATACGTCCGAGCCGATACATTTTTCTGGCGAGCCCCTTCGATCACACACCGCTTTGGCCATTCTCTTCACGAGCGGCGTCGATTTGGGAGATGGCCGAGATTGGACGCTGACAGAGCGGCCTGCTCTGGTCATTAGAAGGCTCCCAATCCGGCCGGGCGCGGCGAGCGGTGCCGGTGCCGGCGGGCGGCGGCCGGTGCCAGCGCCGTGCGCCGGGGCGGCGGCGGAGGGCGCCGATTGACACATGACCTGTCAAACTGCCCCGCCCCCACCCATTCGGCTCCCGGGGGTCCGATCAGGCCGATTGAACAAACGACGGCCCCGGGCGCGGCGCGCATGGAAAGCGCCGATGAAACGGCGTTTTATTGTCGCCGCCCGCTCAGAAGATGACCATCCGGCGAGCTACTATCGAGGCAGGGTCTGACTGCCGCCTGACCCGGCACCAGATGGATTATAGAGTCGTGGATAGAGGTCGAACAGAGATGTAAGCATTGGACAGGGAAATGACCTGGCAGAAATTCATAGGATTCCTACCCTGGGCTCTTACCAAGCGCTCTTACCAAGTAATTTTACGCGTCAGTAAAAAAATATTGTTTCTCAATTTGTACATGGGGTGGCAACATTCGACTGGTCGCGCTCTAACTGAGACTCAGATAAAAAGGTCACGAGTTCTTGATGTATGGCTTAGGGGCCTAATGAAACAAATGTGGAATAATTTTAAACGAAATTATTCTGAAAATTTTGCACGCAAAACGACATAAAAGCATAAAAACGAACATTGGTAATAACCCACCCATCAACACACTCCTCTTAACTTCAATATAAAAGAAAAACAGTTCGCATCAAGTTCTCTCAAGGACTGATGATTTATGTTCCAGTTTCTGCAGAACCATATCACCACATGTAATCAGCACATAACTACCACGAGCGCACCATCTCAATCTCGTAGCTGTCACTTTTTTTTGGTAGTAAAAAACTTACGCAATGATGAACGACCGTGTGTTCAAAACATCAGGCTGGTTTTACATGTTATTAAGTTTGATCAAGAGCTGCAACAACACATGCATATATCACCACGGCTACTACGTCTTCCTGATGTTGATCGGCATCACAGGCATGCCAGGAAGGATAAATGGGCCTGATAAGCTCGGCTGACCTCGAATGGCGACGTGGTCATGTGGGTGTCATGTATCACCGGGACAATCATCAACATCAACCTTCTACAGCGCTGAATGTAGATATAGAATCTACATCTACATTCAGCGCTACAGCAACTTTTTACAGTCTTGCCCGTACCTAAGGTGAGGCTAAAAGCTGACTAATCAACATTTCAATGCCGATAAATAACAACCGGCGCTAACGGCAGTTCTGAACAAACTGTACTTTGGCAGCGCATCTATATTCCTAATCTGTCCCCATTTCCATTCTGTCGCCTTTTACGCCGCAAGTTCGCATCCATTTGGCTCTCTCATCTAATTCCGATTCTCTTTTATGCACCTACTTTCGCCAGGCGTCCTCGACGAGCGTTCTGCTCTTCAGCCGTCCCTCTCAGAGCCATCCCTCCTCTATGGAGAGCGCGGTAGGTACTCACAAGCTATCCTTGATGTGTTTGGTCTCGTCGGAGGCGCTCAGTCGGAACCCCAGCACACCTTTGGGCACCGTGCTGGCGGCCAGGGCTTGTTCAGTGACGATCCACACGTAGCCCACCTCAGTCATGTTCAGGAAGGCCGCGTCGTGGAAAATCACCTCACTGTCGTTTTGGCTGTGGGCCAGAGGGGGAGGTGAGTGGGGTGCACTCTGCGTTAGAGTGGGGGAGAGGGGTGATGGAGAGGAGGGAGAGAGGACGATGACGAATGGATATGACAGCGGGAGAGAGACAATAATTTACAGCCGTCCAGTGAGCAGTGGGGTGCTGGTGTGGGGCGGTGTTGGACGGCAATTTCCAGAGCAAGCGCAAAACATGAGCAGTGTCAGTGATGCAAGAAAGAAAACGACTTGTACTTTCGTTGAAGCAATTCTGAGTCCGTTAAAAAAAAAATGTAGAGGCACAAAGTCGGTACACTAAAGATAGCCGCGGGTCAAAGGAGCAAGCAGATTACCTAGAACGCGTTAATAATCAAGCACTTTAAAGGTTGAGAAGTAAAAACCAAACCAAACCCAGGGTCTGTGAAAAACGTTATTTGTGCTACCAGTAATAGCCTATCAGTACATAGATAAAACACGCCGACTTTCTTTTCGACTGGTGAACTGCCGCAGCCTTTGAAAAAGAATGGTTCTTCTGTAGAAACTGATCACTGGAATTGGCTGCACGATTGAAGACATAGTCCTATCAGCGTTGGACTGATTCTGGCTGACAGCTGAAAATGGCCCAGATTAATCCACGCTCGGTCGAAATGGCAAGTTGACGCTAGTAACTATAACAACGTGGAACATTTCTATTGTCCAGCTCGGCAAACTGAGGAACTTCATTGCCAAGATTTCATCCACGACCATGGTGACTTTCCAACAGTTGCCTGTTTCTTTTTTAAATCTAAAAATGGATGTTGGATTAGATCGTCGCAACTGTACTACCAGCTCACAATATAAGCCTTGCGTTGCAAGGTTAGCACTTAGCATGTGACGGATATTGCAACAATCGCTAATCCCGTCTCCAGTACATCGACCGCAGCTGATCTCGCGTCTGTTACTCAGTGAGCCAGCAGCGCTCTCAAATCCAGGCCAACAGTTGACACAGTCATTTCATTCGCCGACAGTCGGCTCCGACTGACCGCTGGACGGCAGACAACTCCGACCATCGCCATTCCGGAAGCCGACGCCTCCGTCGAGCCGACAGCGGACCGGTCCGGCCCCAGCCGCTGTCACCGAGCGCCACGCTAATGAAATTTGACGACGCCAGTCCGACCCGACCCGTATCTATCTGGGCGCTCAGCTGTCGGCCGGTCGCTGCGCTGAGCGACCAGCGCCGCCGGGCCGGCCCAGAGCTGCGGACCAGCGAGGCGGCCTAGCGTCGCGTCGTTTATATTCGGGACGCGGCGCGGTCCTCACCAACTTGGGGCGCCGGCAACGCGGCCGTATTTTTCGTCGGCGTGCCGGCCGTTTCGTCGGAGGTTGGGGATCAATGTGACACTGGCCCAATGTGGCCGCCGGCACTGGGCCGGCCAACTTGTTGCTGGTGGGACCGCGGTCGCCGCACACGGCTGCGGCTGACCCGATTAGATGGCACACGTGGGAGACGGGAGGAGGGGGGGGGGGTTGGAGTCACGCATCTGACCTGTGCGTTAGATGCGTTTAAGGTGATCCAATTTGTTGTGATATACTGAGTTTTCTACGACAAAATAATGCAACTGCTGAATGTCTAAGATTACTTATTTGTACGGTTGGCATGACATTTCTAAAAACGACAAGCTGCAGATGACATTCTATAACAAGGATAGAAGTTGCCAAAGCCTTGAAGTTTCTCATTTGCTCAGTCATAAATGAGTTGTAAATGTGCGTTGGAAACACGCAAACATGCATGTTATCATTGTTGGGTGCCTTGCTTATTTCCGAAAAAAAAGAAACATTTCAATACTGCTTTGAGTATGGTGGAAAACTCCCAGCTGATAAAGTTAAAACTTTAGCTGTAAGGGACCACCCAACAGCCAAATGAATAGAAAGCCGGGCCCCGCTCACGCTCTCCTTTGTTTAAAGACGCACAATACGAAAAAGGGCTAGATCCGCGCGCTTTAAAGTGTGGTATTCATCACTGTAGACAACTAAACTAGCGAGAGTTCGTCTTTTGAATGCTTATGATTTTTTTATTTAAAACCTTCATCATTCATTCACACTTAGTGATGTTCAATATTTTAGCAACAAAAAGCTATCTACTGACTAAAACAAGCCGAATGGTATTGTTGACAATTGATTAGAATATCGTGACATAAAACGAAATGTTAGCTAAACAATTATAATTTTTCATGAAGAGTTGAGACCGTAGAATTAAGGCCATCTTGGAAAGACGACACGGTTTACCTCTATTAAAATAGGACAAGTATGCAACATATAGTCTGATATTTAATGCAGCTTGACTTACCTGCACATTGGGCACGTGAAACGTCCTGTCATGTCACATCACAGGTGTGACTTCAGACTGGGAACGGCACGATGATAAGCCAAGAGGTCTACAAGATGCCACGATCGCCAACCAAACCAGAATCAGCCGCCTTATGCGAGCATTTCTGGACGTAGCGAAGTAGAATTAAATATGCTGATGGCACTAAATGTTTAAGTAGCTTAAAATGGCATTGTCCTGAATGCATAATTTCACTGCTTAGCCAGAAAATGCGAGTGGGCGTTGTCTTTGTCTCTGGATGAAAGCTCATTTCGAATGGGTATGAAGGCGATTATTGTAATGCAGGTACTAGAAGAGCAGAATGTCTATAACAGAAAAAATTAGAGAAACATAAAAATGTACAAAAAAATCTGAATCTTCTCCAGTGTGGTAAGCGTTGACATAATTCTAGCCGCGTCTGGCCTAACGCCTGTTCTGACGCTACCGGAGGATCCATGACCTTCAAGCCAGGTATTTCGAGCGATGCGCTGCATGAGATTGCAGAATAAACAGATTTCGGCTGTATCATGACATGCTTGCCAGCAATGAAATCAAAAAGACCTTTGCCTGACCGCTGTGAAGCTAATTTATATGGCGCAAGTAAACGATAACAATTTAAAACCATGCATCACAGTGCCATTCTGTGGTTTGTGGAATAGGGAACTGCACATCCGAAAAGCAGCAAAATTTTTACATGAGATTTACCTAAACAGTAAACGCCTGACGCGATTCAATATGCCATGGTTTCCTAAATTCCTACCAGTCCGCGCAGTGCCGCATTTACGGCTGAGCTCCAGACGCCTGCGAGTCCGCTGTGCCGCACGACAGTAATGTACTGCGGCACAGCCTACGCTCCCAGTCGGCGTGATCTAGCCATTGCGGGGCCGCGGTGCGCCAGCACACCACGGTTCGGTTGTGTTGTGACCAAAAGAATGTCGAGACTAGAGCTTACATAACCAGATGAAGGTATCTTAGCAGAGCAGTGTCTACGGCTGTCGGCTACCCAATGACCTGAGGCACATCACAGGCAGCAAATGCTAATTTAAACTATCCACCGGAATGAGGAGCTGCAGAGAAACTGCGACGAATTTGTGCTAATGAATACCTATTAAAATTTTCTCCAAAGATAATAACATGGAAAAATAGCACTAAAATATCATGATTGTCATTGAGTGGGATAAGCTGTAAGTATTTTGGAAGAAAATAATCAAAGTTCGTCAAACATAAGTCACGATTCCTACATCCCTACATCCCTTTTTCATTACTGCCGAGCTTTGCACTGCGTCATCAGCATAACATACTGCGCTCAGGACCCATCACCCAGACACGTCCTTCCCCTTACTCGTTCCAGCCAATTCGCCAGTGATACACGCTAGAACATCACCGTTCGACTCGATATTTCTGATCACAGACGTCGAGACTCAGCCAGGCTCTGCTCATATCACAGGCTCCCAGGGCCGGCCATCGCCTCGACCCGCCTCTCCATTGCCCCTGCCGAGAGCGTCGCAGCGTTTGGCCTCCATCGGAGAGCCAGCCAGCCGTGTAGGTGCCCAACAAAAGACCGGCCGATGACGTCAGAGGAAAGCTGAGCCGCGCCGCGTCGCCAGCCTGAAGGGCCGGCGAGCGCTGACGATATGGAGCGTTTGCTGATGGCTTCCAACACCGCTGAGCGACGTCGACACTTGCTGTCGTCCGCTGTGAGCGTCCTGTCGGCCAGGAGAGCTCCTGGCGCGGACGGACGGTGCACGAGCGGCAATCGACGGAGCCGGCGAGCGCCGAGCCCGGCCGGCCGGTGCTCGCCTTGCGAGGACCTGTGATTGCACAAGTGTCCTCCGGTGGGGCGGCTGGTCCATGGAACATGAGAGTGACCGACCATGGTCGGGATCGACCTACTGAACGACTAACCATGAACCACCAGTCAACCAACCAACCAAACGACTGACCGACTGACCGACAGACCAACTGAGTGAGCGACTGACCGATAGACCAGCCCAACCGACCAGTCAACGTGCCAGCAGACCAATTAACCTAGAGATCCATCACCCCACCAACCAACCAAGCAATCTATCAATCAACCAACCAACCAACCAACCAACCAACCAACCAACCAACCAACCAACCAACCAACCAAATAACCAACCAACCAACCAACCAACCAACCAACCAACCAACCAACCAACCAACCAACCAAAGCCCTGCTAGACTTCCCGGGCGACCGCCAACCAGTCAACAGAGCAGCCAACCCATCAACCTGCAAACCTGCAGATCAACTACCCGACCAGCCAAGTAGCCATCCAGCCAACTAACCAACTAACCAACCACCCGACCAGCCGACCAACCAGTCGAGGTCCCGCCGGCCCGCCCGGCCGACCGGCTGGCTGCTCTCAGCGGCGGCGGCGGCGGAGGCGGCCGTCAGCAGCGCGGGCCTATTGATCGCCCTCTCAGCCGGCACACAGACTGCGGAGACAATCAGCAAACTCAGCCGGCCCGTCTGCGCTGATGGCGCCCTAACGGCCTCTGATGGACGGCCGTCGCTGCTTCTCGCTGCTAACGGCTGTCCGACAGGACATGGACAACGAGCGGCCATCAGTGCTCACCGACCAGTGTCCACACCGTGACTTACTGGCGGAGATGTCCGTCCTGACGCATATGTGAGTGAGCCAGTCAGGTGG